CTGTTAGTATTTTGTTAGCATCTTGTTTTCCATTCCAATATCTGCTCTTCTACCATTTACCTGTGTTTACTATGCTGTCAGTAGTTCTAGCTTCTGGCTCATGCGTGAGCTTTCAATCTTAAACATGTAGCTAATTTAACGGTCACCTTCAACATGTGTTTAAAGTGAAAGATCCGCTTTAAGCTGTTATGAGACAAGGTGGTGGGACCTTACACTGCTGCTGCACAAGTTACTCAACAGGTTGTTTCTAGGTAACCAAAGAGTTAGTGGGTTAGCTGATGCCACCAACCTTGTTTAGCTCACCGATTGAGCCTGCATCTCCCAGAATGCTGTGCAGTTCTGGATCAGAGTTCAGTGAATATTTTATATATTAAATATTGAACATTCTATCAGACATATTATCTATTGATATTCATCACATATCTATCACAATCAATATTGTTATTGATTTGTTGTCCAGACCTGGCACATACATTTAACATTTTCTAGTAGGAAAAGGTTTAATATCAAATGTGGTTTATCACAACAAGGCCTGATTACAGCCACTCCTGTTCTCAATCCAGAAATCACTTCAATCGGACCCGCCTGACAAAATGAGTAACAATTAAAGATCCTTAAAAAGCTCGACATCATGCTGAAAGTCCATACAGTGAACTTAGATCAGAAATGGGGAACTATGAATATGAAGTAAGTTACTTTTAAGTTGCATTAACTGAATTCAGAAGAACTGGTTCTCGATTAGGTTGTTATTGTTAAAAAGCTTTTCCTTCTGCTTCCCCTCATTCATAGTATCCAGTTGTTTTTGTCACCTGTGGACTCTGTTCTAACTGAGTTAGTCAAATGGCCGATACAGAACAAGCGAGAGGCACAGCTATTATTGTTCTAATAATAAGCTGAGTCAGCAACTTTCCCCGTTTCTTTTCCAGAGGATTTTGAAACAATAAAAAGATTGCCTGGTGTTTAATCTGTGATTCCCCCCCCCTCTGAGATAATATTTACAATTCTATAATTAATTCACTTCAACCATAAATGGTGCTGCAGAACAGTTTCAGGAAAGGGAATGTAAATTATTTCCTTTTAGTGCAGTAATGCCATTAAAACAAGTGTGAAACTCACATTACTACACTACTGGATTTACACATATAACCCACCAGTTTCTTATGTCTGAAACATTAAAAATATGAATATTAATGGGTGCCAGCTGTATTGTCACCCCTCTTTTTTAATTCAACACATTATCTGCAATGTTTCTTTTGCAAAACATATAAAGATGAACTGGAAGACAAAATGATGACAGATTGAAACCTTAATTTTAGAAATATATTTTTTTAACTCAATCAGTGCTGCCACAGATATTGACACCCCTAATGAGTCCTTTAAAATAAATTTAAATGCAGCACATATTTTTATTTTTAATGGGACCCAAACCTCTAGGAACTTCTGAATAGTTTGTTTCTCTGGGGTTGAAATATGACGGGTCACCATCAGATACAGGCTGGAAAATGAGCTCAGTTTATCTTGCCACCACAAAAAGTGAAGTTCATTTTTAGGGAGTGACATTATAAGGGTTATCACGTCTCCATAGCAACCATTAAAAGCTAGCAGAAAACAAGCCTTTTCTGTCCTACCACCACAAATGTGGTGGTAGGACAGAAAGGTAGGACAAGTTGAATGGATTACTTAATCCATTCAACTTTTACAATGTTGGTTTTCAATCTGAGGGTTAGGTTGTAATGTACAAATTTCCACATATCTTTAGAATAGACCTTTAAAAACCTTATTTTTTTTAAGGCCTATAATACACTGGAGGAGATTTCCTCCAGTGTATTATAAGCCTGGCGGGCCACCAGGCTTTACTTCTTCTCTCACCAGAATAAGCGTCGTTTGTTTCTTTAGTATAAGAAAAGAAACATTATAATCCAGAAACGGTAAATGATAACACAGATGCTCACCTGACACAGCGAGGGACGAGTGGCTAAAGTTGGTCGATGGACTGGATCGGCCCTCCACAGAGAAGAGGCAGTCAGCAGCAGCTTCGTTTTTCACCATCACATCAGGACCGGACAGATTGACCGGGGCACTGATGCCCAGCTCCTCCTCCTGGGCCTGCTGCCTCCTCAGAGCAACCTGAATGGGGAAAAGATTGATTAGAAACAGTCTGGTTAGAAATGATGCCTTCATTTCTAATTATATTTCAGAACAAATGTAACATCAGTTCTCCTAACACTTATTTTAAATGCTCACCACTTTAGATAAGTCAGGACATAACCGTGAAAAATGAAAGGTGCATTATTTCTCCCATTGAAAACATTGACTACAAACTCAGAGGAAATTTTAGAAATACAATTAATTATTTTTTTTTATTTATCTCAATGGGAAATTAAATATTGCTGGTGTTTCAGTCTGTTTTTGATTTAAAAACTGCTGTAGCAAAGATCTGCAGTGATAAGAAGTAAGCACTATAGTTAGACGTGTTGCAATAAGCAATAAATCAATTAATCCCACGATAAATTAAAACAAACTCAATTATTTCAATTTGCATGGCTTATTGGTTTTCTCTTTCTACCAAAAACTGGGTGATAAAAGTCTTCTGTCTCAACCAGCTCTTTATTTAGACGGGCAATTTTCTTTCCAGAGACCAATAGCTCATTTTATTTACTGTTTTTGTTGTTTTGTTTATTTATTTGGGATATTTAAAATGTCTTCCAGTTCCAGTGTTAAATATTCATTAGAATTTAAGTTCATAGGTTTTTGAGAATGCCTCATCCATTACATTACTTTAAAATGGTCTCAAAACAACATCATTGTTTATAGCAAAAACTTCTGGGACAATTTATCGTCCAGCAAAATGTGTGTGGTGTATTTCTGAATGGAGCTCTTGGTTTAAATTTCCATATGAAAAAAGGGAAATTATCCATAATTCAATCATTGCCATTAAGATTAACTGAATGTTTATTTGTCTTTAAGAGTAATTTTTGATTTTAAAGCTGATTAAGACAAGTCATTAGAAATTTATTAGTCATTAATTATGAATGGACTGTTTGCAACATGTTGCTTTGTAATAATCTTGTAATATGTGTAAAATATATGCACAACTCATCTCTGATACACTTAAAAAAGCATTGCCACAGTAACAAAATGACTGTGATAAAACTTTTATATAAGTTATCCAATATATACAGATTTGATCATTTGATTATAAATTTTAGTCTCTTTGATCTTGTAACTTTTTAAATGGTTTATTTTACAATATATCACTGTTACTTTAAATATTTAGTTCTTTCAAATTAAATCATCTGTGTTGCCATACAACCGTGGCATCTGAACTTTTTTCCACGTGAGCCAAAATCATCAAAACGAAAAAGCACGAAAGTATAAACTCTTCAAGGAATATTTTAGTAATAAAAATAGTCCTGTTTGAGGACCAGGGTGTGTTTTGTAGGTTTGTTCCCACTAAAAGAAACGCCTATAGTTTGCCATTTATTGTGTGGCCTGATTTTTGTTTTTTGGTCTACTCTCAGCAATAAGACTAGATTTTGGTCTCACTTTTAAAAAAATATTTGCCATATTTAGCAGCTAGTGAGTAAATTAAATGGAAATTAAAGAGCACAGTCAGTGTATATTTATGGTCCAATTTACAAAAAATTAATTATTAAAAGATTAATACTTTAATAATCTTAACATTCTAAGATGTTAATAAAAAAATTTATTAAAAAAAGTCTCTGCATTGACCACAAAATCAGTCAACGACGTCGCAATGGTCCGCAGGCCGCACCTTGAACACCCCGACATACAAACTGATTGTTTCTAAAACACCAATTAAATACCAAAACATATTAGCAAACAAAAAATTACTAATCATTGTTACTTAAACATGTTAGAAAGTTGCCTGGTAAATTCATTAAAATATATATATATATATATATATATATATATATATATATATATATATATACAAAGTAGCTGGTTTGTTTTTGTTACTTTCCAGTTTTTTTGTGAGTAAAATGTAGCATCGCGGCCATTAAAGGCTAGCTTCCTGGTTTAAAATCATGCTAATACATGTCGGTAAAAACATACATTTCCTCTGGAATGTTCGCGTTTTATTTCAATTAAAAACATAATAAAAGTGGTAATAAAGTGATTTTAAATAAATATAATTACATTTAAAGAGTTAAAATTGAGGGACTATTTCGGGAGTCGTTAACGGCCGGCTGACGGTAGAAGTAACGGTTACCTGCGCCGCCATGACGCGCTGTCTTTGGGCAATCAGGTTGCATTTGGCACACTGGCAGTCTCTCCAGTTGCAGAAGCGCTTGTGGCCCTTCAGGGCAGAGAAGAAGCCGTGGTTTCTGCAGCGGGAACATTTTGGCGTTCTGGTCGACTTGCGGGCTTTGGAGGGTGACTGCGGTCTGGATTCTTCTGGCTTGATCGGCCGGATTCTGCTCATGACGGCGGGCATATTTGGCTCCGTTGAATCGGCTAACTGGAATGGTCAAAGTGTTACAGTGTTTAGATTCTGCAGGCGTTCACTGGGTCAGTTTTATACTGGTGCCCGGATTTGAACTCACAGCCCCTCCCATGAACAAACTGGGAGAGGAGCTATCAAGTAAGAATAATGATTATAATAATAAAAAAACTAGAATAATCCGAAAATGTTCTTTATTTTCTATATTACTCATTTCAGAAACTGACGCTCAGACAGTTTCAACACAAGTTGAAACTTGTAATTTTTAAGAGGATGGCTTACAAATAACTCTAATAGTAAACAACAACAAAACATTCATTATGTAAAAAGAGCAGAGGGTGGTAGTTACATTTACTCAAATAACTTTTTTGGGGGAAAATGACTTTTTACTGCATCACACTTATGTAAATTTGAGGAAGCCTCTTGTTTTTTCTATGACAGGCTTATGAAGAAAATATTCAGGGTTGCCTTGGATTTTTTTGATTTTATGTAAAATGTAGACATGTTCTAACTAAAACTAAATGAGACATAGAATCATACCTACAATTTATGTTGAAGTGAGACATTTTGTTTGTACACAAACTGTTTTAATATTATTTTCTATCTGAGCCTGATGTGTCATTTGGAGGGCAATTTAAAATACAGTGAACAGTTAATATTACTGGAAGTAATTACTTTGTTCTAAAACAGATATACACATTACATGTAAGTATTAGCTGAGGATGACAATTAAATCCAAGGAGGAGATGTAATTGAAGATTTATCAATAACAAAATACTCTAACATTTTCAAGCAACTGGCCCAGACTCTGATCCTATTTATGTAAATGCTGTTTTTATTGCTCAGAATTTACCAAACTTTAGTGCACTAACCTAAATACTACAGAACATGTTGGGAGAGATGAAGAGAGCATAGAATAAAATGAGAAAAACACACAGACACAGTCCTGAACAGTTGGGATATTCATTTGGAAATTAACGGTGTTTCCTGAACACAGCTTGGTCACGAAAAACTAAGACTGAGTTGAAAAGACAAAACCATAGTTTTAAAAAACACCTTTTGTAATAACAAATAGCCTCAAAAAGATTTTTTGGAAAGTAGATATTTTTTAAAATAATATATTTTCAATAAATTAGCCGATTGTGTCTAACTAAATCTGGGACGAAGCTAACTTTACCAGGGGTCCCTGAAGGCAGCGTCACCTAGCAACGGTGGAGTTTAGTTGCTCAGCAGGGTTGGAAGGTGTTAGCTAATCTTTAACCGACACAATGTCCAGAAAGAAGGAGAGAAAAAGCGGCGAAAGCAAGGAAAAACTCAACTCCGCAAATATCACAGCTACAGCTGGTTTCGACGAAAAAGAAAAGAGATTATATTTGATTCAAATCGGATATTTGAACGAGAAGCTAGAGAGGTAAGACAAGAAAACGACGTCCATGGTTGTGTTTTAAACTGGAAAGTGAAGCTGTATCTCCTTTTATCAACAAGTCCAGACGTTTTTACGCGTCTGTGTCTTTCAATGTTAGTTTGAAATGAGCTTATTTAGAAGGACAGTTGACTTATTATACATACAAACAACCTTTTACACTATGGTTTGGAGTCTTATATCTAAATCAGTTCAAAGCTCTTCAGTTTACCTTCAGTCAATCATTAAGTTTAGTGGCTTGCATAATTATTTTAACATAATCTGAAAAGAAAAATCTGTAAGAGGTTTAAGGGAAAAAATCGTTCATTTCTGTAAATATTGTTTCAAAGTAAATTTATTAATGGGGAAAAAACATTGAAAAATGTTTGTAACAAAATCTGCAGTTTTACAATTATTTTCAGTCTCTGAGGAAATATAATTCCAGGGCTTTAAAATTTATTCTTCAAACTCCCTGTTTCTCTTGGACAATAAATATGACGTGACACAAAGTACTGTTTGTGTTAGGTTCTGTTCAAAATGGGAAAGACAAGAAAACATGTAAAGTACACTACACTACCCTGGCTCCCTGCAGCTCGAAGAATAGACTTTAAACTACTGTTGTTAGTTTATAAATCACTGGATGGCTTAACACCACAATACATTAAAGATCTGCTGCTGTTGTACCAACCGTCTAGACTTCTCAGGTTCTGGTTCTGGTTCTGCTCTGCATCCAGAACCAGAACTAAACAAGGAGAAGCAGCATTCAGCTTCTATGCACCACAAATCTGGAACAAACTTCCAGAAAACTGTAAAACAGCTGAAACACTGACGTCCTGGCTCTTGACATAATGCAATGTTTTGATTGTTGAATGACTCTGTGTTTTTGTGTTTGTTATGATGTAAAGCACTTTGAAATGCCTTGCTGCTGAAATGTGCTGTACAAATAAAAATTGATTTGATTTTGAAATTTGATTTAAAGTAGATGTGATTTGATCTTTGTAAAAAACAAGAAATTACTTTTGAAAAACAGCTACTCTGTCAGATTTGCTCATATTTTTATAATCAGATAAGTAACCAAAAGGTTAAAAATTAAAGGAACTGTTCTCCTACAGATTACTTGTTTTCAAAAACCTTGTTATTCTATTTACTTGTTTATATATATATATATATATATATATATATATATATATTTTTTTTTTTTTTTTTTTCAAAATTTCATTGCTTATGACTATATTTGTATTATTAGGTAAAACTGTGGATGGAGTAGCTTGTCAACTGGTTATCAATAAAGTTTAATCTATTCTTTAAATGAAATGAAACTGTCAACACATCCCAAGTGGACTGGGTCGCATTTGTAAAAATCCAATCTGTGTCGTCATATTAAAGCAAAAAAATTGGTTTTGTGTCACTTCAGTCTGCAGTGTGAACGGAGCTTGTGATGCTGTGGGCCGGTTTCTCCTCCAAAAGCTTTCTGTGAAAAAAAGGAGAAAAACTCTGTAATATGGGCAATTAATGGAACATTTTAAAACAAAGCAGTCTCTTAGTGGGTTTTATTGTGTTTTCTCAGGTTTCAGATAAAATGTGATGAACTTCAGAAGCAGAACAACATCCTAATCTCCCAGTGCGTGGACAAGAAGGACATCACAGCATACCTGAAGCTCTCCCTTTCAGAGAAGGAGGGGGAGCTGGCCGAGCTGCGTGAGCGGCTGGAAGGAGAGCGTCACACCTCCGTCCAGGAAAAGCGTTCCCTGCAGCTGGAGCACGGCCAGCTGAGGCGGGAGCTGCAGGCCCGAATCGATAAGCTGGAGGAAAAAAACGCGGCACTTGGTGAGACTTTTCACTCCCTGTGGGAATCTGCAAGAACGCCGTGGTGGTGTTGGCAGAATCCGTCCTCTCTCTGGTGATTTCCCCTCCGTGTCCGCGAGATAATTCAGGGTCACGTTCTGTTCTGTTCCGATTAATCTGGGAAAATGTAGCGAAGTTTCATTTTGTGAAGGTCAGTGCTTATGTTGTGCAGAAATGAGCAGTTTTTTAAAAATAAAATTTTTTAAGAAAAGCAGCTTTTATCTGAGTTTTTCGTGAGGTTTGGTTCAACATTTGCACAGAATGAGACTAATGCTACAAGAAACGGCTGCAAACTTCTTTATTTTCCATAAACATTGAATTTTTTCTTGAACATTGAATTGATCTTGAATTTTTTCAATTCAAGATCAATTGATCAAAGCAAACATAAACAAAAATAGATGAATAAAATAAGTCATAAAACCAAAGACTTAACAGCAGTTCAGTAAACCGGAATTTATCATTTATCACTTATCGTTTATCTCGATAAATTTCTTTTCATGACAGGAATTTTGATTTATTGTTGTCACACAAAATTTCAAATAATGATATTAAGAGGCCACAAAACTGAAAATATGATTAAATGCAGTTACTGTCTGCTGTTTAGTGATACAAATTAAACTTATTTATGTGACTGGTGTCATAAATGGAAATGTTGCTTAAGAGCAGTATTTGTATTTGTGGGACTAATTGCTGTGACACACAGTCATAACCATACAGTTACATAAAAAAGTAGTAATAAAACATTCTAACTAATCAGTAAAATGAAAAAAGTGAACCAATACTAGGGATGCACCGATTAACTTCTTATATCTGAGAGTTAGTGTCAGCCGATACCGATCCGCTACAGAAAAACAGCTGAACGGACTTAAAACTTTTCTTTTTTTCAAAGACAAACATAAATATACTGAATTACACATTTATTTGATAACTCTGCACCACTACACCACACTCGAATACACAAATAGCGTCACAAGTTTGGTCAAACATCTTAAAACATCTTTAATTTGTTCAGTCAGAGCAACGAGGCATTTAACAGCCAAATAATAAATAATAAACGCACTGAAACTCATAAAAACAATAGGCTGATTACCTAAAATAAGCCTTCTTTCAAATGGTTCAGAAAGTAAAATCAGGAATTCTAGATATAATATAAAACAAATAAAGCATAGAAGAAGACTGACTAGAGCTGCCCAGATGGATCAGGCACATTGTCACCAATAATTAATCTAGAATGTTTTTGGACCGAAACAGATATTCATGTCAGATTTTTGCAGCTCTAACCAAAACTTTACTAACTTTCTCTCTTCCTTTTCTGCCAGCGGAGAAACTTTGTGATCTGGAAGAGTTTCAGAGGCAGAACGACGAGTTGATGAGCAACATGGAGAATCTGGAGAAGCAGCTCGAACGTCAGAAAGAAGAACACAAAGATGAGATCCGCAACCTGGAGATGAAGGCGCAGCTGGAGAAGAGGAGGTTAAGATGCAGCGAATCACATGCTGCCGTTCCTAAAACACCTATAAAGATAAAATCCTGTAGTTTCTTCTCCCTTGATCAGTCTAAACTACAGCGCTTTGCAAAAGTATTCACATCCTATGGAAGCCTGTTTCCGCCACTCTGGTAAAGTGGATCCGCTCCAGCTCTGGTATTTTTTTTTTTTAACCAGAGTGGCGAAAAAAGACTTCCATAACATCCACTTCTGGACACTTCTAACCGCTTTTAGAGTTTTGCCTTTATTCTTTATTTTATGGCAACAATTCAGCTGTGCAAAACGCCTGAGTGAACCTTCAGACTAGCCAGCAGCAATTAGCAAACA